ATAATGTATTAGGCATAGGTACTAGGTATTAGAGGTAGGTATTAGAGTAAATATTTGATGTAGAGTAGGAAAGAACAATGAAACCTACCGATCTTGGTTCTAAATATCGAATTTCTATACTCGATCCATCTGGTCTGATCAGTTTAACGGGATAATGACGAAGATATTGCTGCCGACAAATCTTCCCAAGGCATGCACGCCAAGCGTTACCTCGTTCTCAAAAAAAAAAGAACTTTCATTCAGGAATTCAGCTCAGTTTGAAAAACAACTACCAAAACAGAAAACAACAAATGCAGAAGAATAAAAAAAAAACAAAAGCAGAAAAATTTACCTTGATTCAGCATGCGAGAAACAGAGGCAAGGTTCAATAGTTGAGCTCCTGGTCCTCGACACCATAAAGTAACCATTTTTTATCTCAGAAAATAGTGTAGACCAGTCGCATGCAAATCATATGCAGCTTAATACTTTCAGAAGATGTAGTAGGAAATTCTAAATTGCTGAACCATGTTTTGGCGCATTGGATATGGATTATAGCGCGGTACAGATTTTCGTTTCATTGCTGTTCCCATGCATGTGTCATTTCATTTAAAAAAATAAGTAAATTTCACAACAACTGGTAATGTACTTCGTTTATTCATATATCTATGTCTACCATCAAATTTCCTCTATAAGTATCAAAGACAGTTGCCACTTTGACTTTTCGAAAAATTATTGGCTCATAAGCCATGCATCATTACTACACATCACCAATAAACAAATCAACAATTTATTTTTATAACCGGGTTAGTGTTCAACAATTAACGACAGTTTAACGTCTACGATGGATGGCGCGCTTCACCTTAGGCTTGGGCGGCAGAATAATTCCATCATACTGAAAAAAGGCAGTTCGAAGCATCTCTAAGATAAAATGATGAAAATCAGGAAGCATCTCTACTATAGAATGATGAAAATCACCTTTTGCTGGAACCACTTCACAGCTTCATCGCGTGTCACACGATGAGATGGTCCCACACGTCCTGGAGCACGTCTTCTCTTGGCTACACGACTACCAGCGCGAGCGAGGACGACATAAAAGTCCATTCCATAGATTCCGATGGCGGGGTCATACTTTATGCCGAGATCGATGTGCTCCTAAAAAAGTTATTTCTGCCTTATATATCTTAAGCCATGTAAGGCTTGATCCACTTG